GCAGGGAATGATGGATTAAAAAAGATAGCTCTGATAACATCTTTGCTGTTCTGTTAAATTATTAAAGGCTACCTTGGCTTGAGTGCCTCCACGCAGAGACCTGGGTCCTGAGGTCCCTGCTCTTGCCTTTGCCCAGACTGTGGTCCCCAGGTGCTGGCTCATAGCCATTTAAAGCCTTGTATTCCATCAGGATGGGGGTCAGAAAGGATGCCAGGCAGGACCAGGAAAGCCTCTCCTGAGTCTACCCCTGAGATAAACCATGGTTCCCGCTCCAGCACAGCACAGCCCTGGGGTTGTTGGGCCATGCTGCCAATGCATGTTGAGGTCCCATATCATTATCCAAGCAGGATGGCCACCCCTGCCACTGCCACACTGTGGGGTGATGAGGAAACCCAGGCTGCCAGGGGGAGGCCTGGAGCTGCTACGTCTGTTTTGTGTTCAGCCCAGGTGTCAAACAGGAATGGGGTAGTGCAGGCAGGAGTACCCTGGGGAGGGATGCTCAGAAAGAGTGAAGGTGGAGCTGCCCAACAGCCCTGCAGGCAGCATTTGCCCTTCCGGTGCAGACTGTTTCCAGAAAGACTGTGCTGAGCTCCTGGGGGAAACTCCCGTTGGAACTGGAGTCATCAAAACTGGTGTGAACCTCCTTAAAAGTGTATGGCTCATGCCCTCCCTGGGCATGGGACTGCAGTTCTTCCCATGTGCATCAATTTGTGCTGTTTCTTTCTCTGCTGCTTCCTGTTTTTATTTGCCAGTATTGGGAACACAAACTGAGGCATATGTTGCATTTGCGACCTCCTAATCTTTAAGCTGACCTGCAGCCATAAAACCAGGGCATTTAGTATTTTTACTTCTGCATCTGAGCACTCCATGCTGAGTCTGACAAGGAGGCCCCTCTTGGAACACTGCTCTCCAGAAGCTGCTGAATGTTTTCCAGTAAGGAATAAGTCTGGTGAAATACCTGGGTTTTGTCATCCCAAATGAGCTGTGTGTTATAGCCAAACCAACATAGTTTGCTTGGGCAGGATGAAGGAGGTGTAGAAACGGAAAACTAACTCACAAATCTGAAAGTAACAGTAGTGTTGCCTTTGCCTCCAGAGCCTCTAATTTCTCTCTGAATGCTCTAACCCTGTGCTTCTGGGTAATACAGAGTCAGGGGGACCACCCCTGTCAGTCTAGGAATTCAAATGGAGTCAAGCTGCATGTTTTGAATGAGATGAAATGTACTGTGGAAGATTCTAATTCCTGTAAAGCAAAGATTTAAAGATCTGAACATGTATCTGACCTATATGTGCCATGTAACCTTTTGCTTCTCTTACTGTTCAGTGAAAATAAACCTAGCTTTTGCACATCTCTGTTATGGACCAAATAGAAGAGATGATGCTAGAAAGGCTTTACATCCTCAGACACTTCCAGTAACTGATTTTACAATACCAGACTCATAGCCTGCCTCTTCATGCAAATGTTTATGAAGTGCCCAATGTATATCTCAAAGGATAGCAGGGACAGATGCAGTTCTTTGAGTGTGACCTCATTAGATCCTCTATAACTGTTTGAGGAAGTCTTGCTGAAAATGGTTGCCTTCAAGCAGTATCCTGGTTGTCCTTCTGAATGTAAGAAAATTGAGCAAGAAGATCATAGTGGAAAAAAACCCAGAAAATTCTAGTACAAACACAGAGCTGTTGAGATCAGGATGAAAGCACCAAGAAGGTATTTTTATGGTGAATTTTGTGAGCTTTGTGCTAGAGTTTTCATAAATATAAAACATAAAATCACTTTCTTTCTGGTTAGGTTCTGTCCAAAAGAAAAGAGGATTTAGTTTGTTCTTTGTAAAATAAATAAAAAACATTAGTCAGATGTCCTGTCAGTAAAGATGGGCATAAACTGTGCTCACTGGGCACCACACAGATAAGAGCAAGTTTGCCTCTATCCTAAAAGTGTGAAGATTTGGAGAAGGCTTCAGTGTTGGCCTTCTCTGCTCCTATGAAAATAAGTGTGTGTCTTTAATTTTCAAACCACAATTATAGAAATAAACCACCAAATTGTGGTAAAACTGAATAACTTTAGAATAATACTGACATTCAAACAAAAGCCTGAGCCAAATTTAGAAGTACAAATTTTGCCATCCCATTTAACCACAGCATAAAATGTTCCCTCTTCCTTAAATAAATGGTTATGATCATTGCAGGTGCTACCTGTTCCTAAATGTTGTGCCTTGCTACCTCTCTAACCTAAACCTGAAGCTCTGGAGAGCTGGCAGCAGCAGGAGATCAAATGTTTTGCCTGTTTCTAAATATATACATGCAAATGTGCTACCACTGAGTTGGCTGAAAATGTTGTTTCTCCATGTGGAACACTGAGGGAGAAGAGATTGCTTTTCACATGGATTTCTTTTCTCCTTGGGGATCATTCTAACAAATTGTTTTCTGTTTGGGTGGAAAAATCTATCTGCCCTTCATTCCAGTGGATTTTCATTCCCCCATCACCTGTGCTGCTAGGAAAGAAGCAGATAGAGAGGGCCAGGTGAGGAACAGGAAGCAGAGGGCAAAGAAAACACTGATTTTTATCCAATACTACAATTGTTTCCCTAACCCTGTGCTTGTGTATGGATGGTTGGTTTAGAAGGCACACCATAGGGAAAATAAATCAATAAAAGGTGTTCTTACAGGTCTGGAATTAAACATTTATAAAGCACGGACAGAAAGCAGGTTTTGTGGTCACATTTTTGCCACTACCCAAAATTCAGTGGAAATTTTCATGAGATTTTTTCAGTTTATAACAAAAGTTTGGGGATTTTTAATTTTTTTATGGTTCTAGATGTGACTTTTGTAGTTGGCCAATGAATTTCACTGGGGAAAGATTCTGAAGTGCCTTCTGGGCAACTGTTAAGGAATGATGAATTCCCATACTGTAAAGCTCCAGATTTTTATTCTTGTCACAAGGCAGATAATATGACAACTAGTCTTACTAAAGAATAGAAAAAATAATGCAGTCAATATAGCCTTGGAATATGTTTCCTTTAACATCTATGAAATGCCAATTAAAATCTTCTCATTAATGCAGTAAGCTCTCTCTTTTCATCTAAACTGTATTAAGTCTACTCCTGATTGACTTAAATACGATCATTAACTAGAAATCTGAAGGGCTGCAGAAAAGAGTTATTCCATGAGTTATTATTCCACTTGCAAAAAATGTTGTAAGCCAGCAAGAAATAAATGAATGTCTAAAAGCCAAAGGCATGAATGATGTTGTAATTATACTTATTAAATCTGGACAAAGAGCCAGTTCCACAACTGCCTTAGGTCTCTACTGTGGCTCACTTCTGCGTGACACAAAGGGAGAGGCATAACTTTAGGCAACCTTGCCACGCGTCAGGATAACTTCCCTAAACCAGAACAAATGACGAAGTCAGGGGTGTGAGGACGACACCAGCTCTCAGGGCGTGAGCTCCAAGCGGGGCAGGAGAGGATTCGTACCATGCCCGTGTTTGGACAGCAGTAACTCTTCTGAGGGGAATGTAAAGACCATCACTGACCTTTGCTATGGGCAATAAGGCCCCCGGTGTTACGCTGGTGCTTCATAGTGATGTGCAGTGTGGAGTTCCCTGATTTGGTCTGAGCAAGAAAGCTGTGGGAGGGGGGACTACCCCAAACCCCACAGAGACAGGGCACCATGTTCTCCAACTGCCCTTGCTCTCCTCTCCCAAAGTCTGGTGTTTCTATGCTGTGTTACCTAAACTTTCTGTTTCTGTTGCTCTTAGCACTTGTAGCTCTTAGCTGATCATCTGCTGAGGATTTCTGCAAACCAGCCAGGCATGAGGGGGAAAGCACTGATAAGAGAAGTGAAGGAAGAAAGGTGTGCTTCAGAGATGCTGCTTACCAAATACACAAAGGAAGCATCCATAATCAGACAACAGGCTGCACAGCATTGCTCTTGTCATCCAATGTACTACTTACTGCCTCAAGGAGAGGAGTTGCTTTTGTTTCATTCCTGTTTTACAGAAAACATGGTGTTCAGTATACCCAGCTGAACTTGGGAGAATTTGGGCTAACTTGTTTTGCCAAAAAAACCCCTCCAAAATTATTTATTGAAGTTGAAATATCACTCTTCTGAGAAGAAATGGCTGAAGAAAAAGGATCTGAAAAAGGGATATTCTAAGGCTGTCTCAACAAAAAAAAAAAGCAATGTCTTTGGGAAAGAAACGCATCTTGTTTTCAGGAAAGGTACTGTCTTCCCCAGCAAATTCTTTATGTGCACCACAGGAACTTTATCCCCTTCTACAATATGTAAAAGTTCTGACCGGCCTGGGCCAGCCCTGTTGGCAGATCCTCTGGTGTTGACCAACCAGGTGGCCTTTGGTAAGTGTGTATCCCAATGGTTGACAGTCCCACCACCCATTGCTCTCAGTGTAGTTTTTAGCAGCCCATTGTACCTTTTGATTTTCCCAGAGGCTGGTGCGTGGTAGGGGATGTGATATACCAACTCAATGCCATGGTCTTTGGCCCAAGTGTTTATAAGGTTGTTCCAGAAATGAGTCCCATTGTCTGACTCAATTCTCTCTGGGGTGCCATGTCACCACAAAATGTGTTTCTCAAGCCCCAGGATAGTGTTCCGGGCAGTGGTGTGGGGCACAGCGTACGTTTCCAGCCATCCAGTGGTTGCTTCCACCATGGTAAGCACATGGTGCTTGCCTTGGCGGGTTGGCGGCAGTGTGATATAGTCAATCTGCCAGGCCTCCCCATATTTATACTTCAGCCACCATCCTCCGTACCAAAGAGGTTTTAACCGTTTGGCTTGTTTAATGGCAGCACATGTTTCACACTCATGAATAACCTGGGCAATAGTGTCCATTGTTAAGTCCACCCGTCGATCACGGGCCCATCTGTATGCTGCATCTCTGCCCTGATGACCTGAAGTGTCATGGGCCCACCAGGCCAAAAATAATTCACTTTTATGTTGCCAATCTAAGTCCATCTGAGCCATTTCAATCTTATCAGCTCTATCCACTTGTTGGTTGTTCTGGTGTTCCTCAGTGGCCCGACTCTTGGTTACATGGGCATCTACATGGCGTACCTTCACCACCAGGTTCGGCACCTGGGCAGCAATATCTTTCCACAGTGCAGCAGCCCAGATGGGTTTACCTCTGCATTGCCAGTTGCTCTGCTTCCATTGCTGCAACCACTCCCACAGGGCATTTGCCACCATCCATGAGTCAGTATAGAGATAAAGTACTGGCTATTTTTCTCATTCAGCAGGGAAACTGAGGTACTTGGTGTAAGATCTCAGATGGCTTATCCATTGATTTTAATGCAAAACAAGTGTAACATTTTCATTTTATTCTCTTTATCTCAGCTGAAGAAAGGATCTCTTGACCTTGCAAAGTGAATATGAATATATATTTGCACAGCAGCAATGCTTTAGATTTTATTTTGACAACAGAAGTTAAAAGTCACATCAGCATCAGGATGAAAAGCACCCTACTCAGACTTGTTAATACAAAATAAATCACTGGGTACTAAAGTAAAAGATGAATCCCTGAGGCATCTGGTTACACATAAGAAAATAATGTCCTGTGACTTAATTCCTTGGACTTTCAAATATGCACTCAGGTAAAAAGCATACCCAAATTTACTTTCACTGTCTGCTGCTCTGATGTTCTCACTGTAACAGTGTATATGCATTCTTCTAAATACTGTGTCTCCCTGTTTAAAATTCAGCCCTGAATTTGGATGCAGATTGAAATTGCCTTAAATATATGATACATAAAACAGCTGTGGTAATTGATCTATTACATTGTCTAAAGATAAACTGTATAGACAAGTGAGGAAGAGCATAGAAGATGAAGGGTTAAGTGATGATGTGAGCAGAAACTGAGCTCGAAATTGGAGCAGTTCTAAATTGAGAAAACAACATAGCTCCAAGGTGTTTTATGATTTGAAAAGCTATTCATTCTTTACATAACATTACCATTAGTTACCTATGTAGGTTGTATTATAATAAAGCTGAGAGTTAACTGAACCTTACATTTTATAGGTGCACGTTTAATTAAATTGTATGTTTTATCTGTAGTAATAAAATATGAGACTCATCTGAGTTAACACAGTTTTACAGTTTTAAGGTCTGAAACATCTCCAGCATCTCCATTCAGGGCTCCTTGGTATATGAGCCATAACATCCATTGGGGAAAGTGCTAATCTGGGAACCTTTTCATTTGCAGCTAGAAAGCTATCCTGCTCATCATGCTGATGCTGTATTAAACAAGTAAATAAACCAGCTTCCTGTTCTGGAATGAAGTGAACCTACAGACTCAAAGGAAAATTCTCCTAATCATCATAGAGCACTCAGCTTTGCATACGATTTAAATCTAAAAGCACCAACACAGGATAGTATAATGAAAATGTATTTTCAAGCCCTGCTGAAGGACATGGAACTGTTTCCTGTTGATGCTAGAGGACAGAGGAGGACACTTTTACATAAGACCGCATTACACGAGAAACTCTTACTTAACCATCTGCACTGTGCTTGCAGTGTTTTGTTTCTAGTCTTTGTTGACAGAGAATAATCTTTCATATTTCTCCCTATTACGACAGGCCTAAAAGTGCTTTATTTCAGGTATAGCCCAGGAAAAGGCCTGATTCAGTATGTCCTGCCACTTGAATTTTGTCACCAGAAGAACTGAATTTGTTTGATGTGTACCTCTAGACTAGGATTTTGCAAACTGAATTTCCAAAATTTTTCCAAGGAAAACCAACGATCTGATCTACAATTGCTCCCTTATTTTAGCACAGTCACTTGTCATAAAATCATAGAATGGTTTGGATTGGAAGGGACCTTAAGTTCCAACCCCCTGCCATGGGTAGGGACACCTTCTACTAGACCAAGTTGCTCAAAACCCCATCCAGCCTGGCCTTGAACACTTACAGGGGTGGGGCATCCACACCTTTACTACTTGTCCTTTGCTCTTTTTGAAACCCAGTTCCCCCTCAAATCAACACAGAACCCCCTCTTTTTGCTAATGAAGTTGTCTCCATTTGGCAAAGCTCTGCATTCAGCTCTGCAAGCGATCCAGTTGCGTCACCATGCTTAAAAGGAGGCTGGGAAGTTGTGTGTGATCATCCAGCACACTGGAGGGGCCTGAGGGGGCTGGAACCTGCCAGGCCCTGTCTACAGCTCCTGTGGCTGCAGCTCAGACACAGCGCATGCTCCCAGCTCCAGGAAAGGTTTTAAACCAGAACATCCACTGGTAGGCAGTTATGGTATGTTGAAGCCAGTGCTATGCTTTAACTGTCCAGACTGCATGAAAGAGAGTTGGGATGAACCAAGTGTACTGAAAGTCACAGTTTTCAGAACATGCTGGAGTTTGGCCTATTTCTGTTTCTGTATAAATGCGTCAAGGCTTATGAATGGATTCAGATTGCTTTCAGTCCATCCTGACATCTCCTGAGCTCTAGCAACCAAGGCAGTATGATATGAAACTTTTAAGTTGGAATCAGGTGTGCTTGAAAGTCATTGAAATTCAGCTTAGCCAAAACTTGTGTAAATAAGGAATGATTTGGACAAAACAAACCAGGAAACATTTCTTCTGGAATTGGATACAAAATTTCTTTGCAGTACTTTAGTGCCCATGAAAACTCAAAGATTTTCATGTCCACTTCTGTTGTTGATGTCCAAGATAATTTTTAGAGATAAGTTATCTAATACCAGTTTATTTCATTTTCTCTATAGAGTTTGCTGTAATTTGGGTGTTCTCCGACTGAGCTGGGAGAAAATGAAAGAAATAACCTTTTTTATTGTTGTTGTTTTATTGCTATCTTATATTAATTTTTCCAACTACAATGGATTTGCAGCGGATTCTCAGCGCTCATGTAGCTGCTGAGTTCTCTATAAGCCAGTGGAGCCAATGACAGCCTCTACAAAACAAAATCATTACTTGTACTCTGAAGATCATCCTTGATTAGTAATGGTAATGATTTGTATTCATCAGAGGGCAGAACACATCTATCGTACAGATTAACAATCTGTTTTTCTCTAAAACACTGCTAGTAGGTGTTTTGGAAAGCTTGGGCAAGCATCTCTAGCTGAAGCTGAAGCCTTAGTCTCCCAAATACAGCTTTCTGTTGTCCAACAATGTTTACCATGTAGTTATGCAAAAACGTGTAACACTATACCCTTGATTGTAATACACAGTGGAAATGTAACTTTTGATAATTCTGAGGTTTTTAGCTTTGTGAATTCTTAGATAAACAAAATCATAAACTGACTCTTAAACAACTACCTTTTATTAGAAACCAATGCCTTGAACAGTAATTCCCAAGAGAAATAGTATTACACTGGTAACAGGAAATCACGAGTCATTTATGTTAAGGTTTGGTCTTTGAGTGTAAATTCTCTTTGAGCAAAGATAGTATTCTTTCATCTCTCTATAATAGCACCCAGGGTTTGAATTTGAGACTTCGGGTGTTGCACTAATGTATACATAATAATGCATTCCATGCACATTTATTGGACAGATCTGCATGTTATTCTTTTCAGTTTGCACCCCAGAAGAAGAGAGGAACCAAAGATTATTTGAAGAAGAAATATTTTGTTATCATGCCTGACCAGCCTTCCTGCTCTCTGTGACGAGATCACTGGCTGTGCGATGAAAGGGAGAGCAGTGGGTGAGAGGGTGTTCTATACCTCGACTTTAGCAAGGCCTTTGACACTATTTCCTGCAGTATTCTTGCTGCCAAATTGGTGAGATCTGGACTGAATAAGTGGACAATAAAGTGGGTAGAAATTTGGCTGGACTGCTGGGCTTGAAGGGTGGTAATCAGCAGTACAAAGGCCAGCTGGCAGCTGATTACTAGTAGCATGCCTCAGGGGTCAATACCATGGCCAAGACTGTTAATGGCTTTATTTACAATGTGGACAATTCAACTGAGTGTGTGCTCAACATGTCCCTTCTAGCATAAATTATTCTATGGTTATTTTCATTTGGGGACTTACCAAATAGGTAGGGTTGAACACAAGCAGATGTAAATTAATCCACTCAGTGAGTGTGCTAGCTCTCCTTGCTTTTAAGGAGCACTTATTTCAGAACAGTGCTTGACAAAGCGTGGATGCAATAACACACTGACTTCATCTATAGCACAGCACAAAGACAGTGGCATAGGACCAGGATGGACAAATCTGTCCTGAACTGGAATACTCCTGTTGGCTGAGGTGCTGCTCCTGGGACTGCCTCTTATGTGAAAAAACAATCGGTAAATAATGGTCTTTGGTCTAATGGTCTAATCTGAAGTGGTAAAAGCAAACAAGTTGGATAGCCTTAGTGTTGCTTCAGATGCTGTTTTCCTGTGGTTCAGCATCACCCTCAGAGATCTGCCTACTCTTTCAGTGGCTAATATGTGTATCTTTATGATATGCCCTAAAACCTAGATCTGCCATTTTTTCTCAGAACAAAAGTGGTATAAATACCACTGTTTTGGGTGTTTGCATGAGAAAGAAGTATTGCCCTGTAGTAGACAAGAAATTTAGTATTTGCCTGGAAACGAAAAACTTCCATGTCCAGGACAGAGGTAGCAGCCAGTTTGTTTTTAATGGTTTGAGGTCTGGAAATATTTATTGGTGGGTTTTGTGGCCCTCTGTACCAAAATAGTTGTATTTTATCCTTGAAGCAATATGTGATTTGAGGGGAAAAAAAAATAAGAAAGAAAATCCCTTGGCATTATATCCATTGGCTAGTTATTTCTAGACACCTATTCTCACCTGCTGTTTTATAAACTACAGATTTAAAACACTTCAAATAGAACACAAGACTCATTTTTCTGTTCACATCTTCTGTTTTCAGTGTGCCTGATGTACACGATATGAGTCATCCCTGTTGCTTTTACACTTCCTGACTACCAGTAGTTTGGGATGAAGCTTTATTTCTTTCTTCTCAGCTGACATTTTCTTCAGGAGCAAAGGGCAGGGAAATATTTTAAAGTAAATTAAGTGTTTGAGAGCGTTGTTAAAATAGTGTGGGAACTTCTTTCCTCAGTGAAATCTGAAAAAGGCACAAATCTCATTCATTTTTTGCTGGTGTTCTTCTATCCTAACCTGAAAGGAAAGCCTTAAGGAAAAAGAGGTCTTTTAATTTTCCATACCATCTGGATTTCTCCACCCTATGTTTTCCTTGTCTTTGCCCTTCCAGTTTTTATTCCTGCTGTTTCTATTTTTTTATTTCTTCTCATTTATTCCTGCCACCTATTCTGTCTCTCTTATGTGCTTTCCCCCATCTGCATTTCATTTTCCATCTCTATTTCTCAACTTCCTTCTGATTTCAACCTTCTGCTTGCTCCTAATTATTTTCTGTCTTTCTTGGGTACGAAGGCTCTAAATTATATGCCAAGAGTAGGCAAATATCTCATATTATAAAACCATATTGGCCTTAATGGCTACTGGCAAACAAAACAAAACAAAACCAAACCACAATACTCAAATGCTCTGTCAATATTCAAATCTTTTCAATACTCAAATATTATCTTTCAGTTGGAATACTTTTTCCCATCGATACTTCCATATTTTTGGTTATACAGATGGAAGCAAGAAAAAGTGAAAAAATATAATCTACTATATTAAAAGACAAATGCTTCCACTAATGTAAAATGCTACTGCCTCAAACATACAAATCTGCACAGTCAAAACTTGACTTCTCATTCATTTTTTCTTGCTCATTTTCAAGTACAGCTGCAACTGAGATGAGACCGGGACACAAAGCCCACAGCAAGGAACAGACACAATTCATCTTAAAACACTGTGCGATTGCCATACTTGTAAATCCTTATGACAGACTTTTTTTACATTATAAAATGTAAAATATACATTTTATTGCTCCATACTTATTCAGCCATTTTGTTTCATTTCCAAAGTCACGGTCCACAGCAAAGATGATTGTCACTTGTGTGATGTCAGAGAGACAGCGAGCACATTAAGCACAAATTCTTAGCATCTACCTACAGCAAATGATATCATAACTAGCTTTGGTTTGCCCCATCCAATGATGTCAAAGTCTTCCACAAGCAAGTTAAGTAATGCACAGTGTTATTTCAGAGCAACACTTCTTTCTGTAAAAAAGCACTTGCACCATTATTTCCTTTCCCATTCCCATTTTAACATATACCCAAAAGTGCAAGACTGAGGGTTTCTTTCTTTCATAAAGCCATTATCTGTATTCTCAAGTTGGGAAGGTGTTTTTGCATCATTTCTTCTTGTGGAGGCAGAAAATCAATAATTGCCTTCAAAAAGAATGCATGTCAGAACCTGACAGAGTGAAAGCTATCCCTGCCATTATACATATGACTCCAGTAGACTCCACAACTCTACTTCTGTCCCCTGTAACCTTAAAAAAAACCCTCTTAATATTGGACTTTGGATGTACTTTGAAGTCAGCAATTCATTAAGTGTGTCATTCAGGTACTGAATCAACCTATAAAACATTTACATTCTTCAGAAGAATTTATCATGTACTGACAGGAATAATGAAATAGACCCATTTTTAGAATGCCCTGAAAGATCAGTTTCCACTTCAACACTCAACCACAGCAAAGTTTTACGGTAC